TTTTGGTTTTTTGAGACAGAGTCTCACTATGTAGTTCAGACTGCTCTGCAACTCACTATGTAGCCCAGGCTGGTCCCGAACTTGCAGCAATCCTCCTGCGTGCTGGGATTACAGGCATGCGCCACCACGCCTGGCTCTATTTCTTAATTTTTTAGAGAATTTGACAAAGACTTAAGAATGGTGAATATTTTAAGCCTTCCGTGCCTAGTGTTCAATTTTTATTCCTTCCAATTCTTATTCCTTGTGTTTGCTTCTGCACTTACGTACAAAATCGTATTCCTTGAAATTTTTCTAGGTAACATATATGAAAAAAAACCAACTCTAATCTTTGGTATAAATAGGTTACTGGGACTACAGATAATCTCTATTTCTTCTCCCCCATACTTTGAAGATTCATGTTAACTTATTACTTAACTGGATCAATCTACTGAAATTTTTGGGCAAATTCTAATTGGAAAGTTTGGGCCTCTAGTCTGGTTTGTGCTTACACATTTATTAACATAGCACTCACCAAATCCTTCCTAACATGGGAAGGAGTTGACAGAAATGGAAATCCCAAACATAAAGAATCAAATTAATTAGTCATTGTGCCCAAAACAAGGTGGGTCAGTTATGTAGCAGGATACAACACAGATCATTTCACATGCTCAGTACACTAATTTGTAAGATTGGGTTTCCTGTTTGTACATATGCAGATTTTCTTTGCACAGAGGCTATGCTACATGTTTTTCACACAAAAACCAAATAAAATCCTGTGAACCTCTCTCCCCCCTTGCACCTTGAATACAAACATTAAAGCTAACAAAAGATACATTTACAGCCAAACTCTTTCAGTATTAGAGGATATGTCAACAATTTAAAAGTTACTGTTTTGATGTACTCTGCTGTACCTGGCATTTCTAATACTGAACAAATGTGCCCAAGAAAGGTGGGTAATTCTGTTTTTTTTGTTTTTGCTAAGACCACTCAACACCGTGCTATATTTCTTATGTAAATTTTGAACCTAAGCTGAAACACACAACCAATAAGTGAGATCAAAGTCAATGGTAATACAATTAAGGATTAAAAACAAAACAAAAAAAGAGCCTCCCATATATTACCTAATTCAGGTCAACTAACAAGGTTAGAAATTTAGGTGAACGGACATGGAAAACTGCTAAAACAACCTTGTGTATAGCTCCTAAAAAATACAGTATAAAAGCCAGGCATGGCGGCACACACCTGTTATCCCAGCACTTGGGAGGCTGAGGCAGGAGGATCTGCCACAAATTTGAGGCCAGCATGAACAACAGACTCTGTCTCCAAAACAAAACAAACAACAGTATAGATGCCAAGACACAGCTCAGCAGTGTAGCACCTGCCTAGCAAACTCGAGGTCCTGAGTTCAATTCCCAGTACCAAAAGAAAAAAATACAGTATAAAAATCTAACAACAACAGAAAAAATGATCACGATGCTAAATTTAAATTCCACAATTCTGTGAAAACAGTGCTTTAATCAATACCACTCAACTTTTTACTGACACCTAAACTTCCTTAGTAAAATGCTTGATTAACTATTTTCAAACCATTAGTACAAAATGCCAGCCCTTGTGCTCTCCTAGGAAAGTTTATTGGGTAAGACAGAAAAGTAAACTAGTTCTGAGCAGAGGAACTTGGGGTATAGCATGCAGGGACTTCCACAGACTAAGAAACTGCCTGAATGTTTATAGTGCGGGGAATCAACACGAGAAACCAGGACTTGCTGCTAGGCCAGTTCCCGAGCTGGCTTCCCCATCTCGTTTCCCTCTCCTCCCTTCCTCCTCTCCTCTCTCTCTTTCCCCTCCCACCCTCGCTCTTGAGTGGATTCTCAGGGACTGACTGGCCTGGCTAGTTCTGGGGTTACTGTTAATGAGGTGCAGATGCTGATAACGAATTCCTTTCTGTTCCTGAACCTCAAGTTTTTGGACCTGGTATCTGTATTTTTTTTTCTTATACCCTTCTGATATAAAGGAAGTAAATTGTATGTATGCAGGACATTTTCCAAATTTTATTGTCCTTAAGTAGTATGGAAAATTGAGGTTGAAAAGGTTATTTTTTTCAGTTCTTTCTTGAATTTTTTCATCTCTTACACAAAAAGGCAAAGTGGACCTCTATATTTGGATGCAAATAGAACGTAAGAATAAATATATCTATAATCCAGGCTGAGGCAGGAGGAAGCAAATTTGAGGACAGCCCAACCAACTTAGCGGAACAGTCTCTTAAAATAAAAGTGAACAAAAAGGTTTGGGTGGGGATGTAGCTCAGCCCTCCCTGGGTTCAATCTCCAGGAGTACTCACCCCCCAGCAAAAGGAACTAAACATTGTCTGTGTTTCTGGGGCAACCTGATGAGAGGTGAAGCAGGATGAATACCAAGCTCCACTGTTAGGTATGGGAAGAGGGGCTATAAAAACCAACCAACCAACGAACCAACCAACCCTAAAAGGAGATGGAGACTGAACTATGCATACATTCAAATATTTTTCCTCTTTCCTCATTTTACCACATGGCCATGCCATCTCCTACAGATATTCCAGCATCAGCCCAGGGAAGAGTGAACTTTTCATACTTTCTAAATGTATCTTTTGCAAAAGGGAAGGGGACCAAGAAATGGAGGGAGGAGGCAAGGAGAGAAGGGAAGGTGACTAAAAAAAGAATTAGGATGTATTATTTATGTGTACACCCTTGCATGATGAATGTAAACATTATGTACTGCAAACATGTATTAATAAAAAAATAAGGGCTGGGGATTTAGTTCAGTGGTTCCACTGCCTGCCTCGTAATCGCAAGGGCCTGAGTTCGATCCCCAGTACAAAAACAAAACAAAACCAAAAAAATGTGTATCTCTGTTATAGCTTATGTCTAGATGTCCCCCCAAAACCTCATGTGGTCATAGTTGGGGAGTTTCAAAGGTGGTTGGATTAGGGGGTGTGGACATGGTGTGATGCTGGGATTAAGGGTGTGGATAATGAAAGCCCTACCCTGGGTATGAGTGGCACCAATCAACAGCCTTGTAGCTCGCATGGAATACAAAAGGACAGAATGGTTTACTGCAGCTGCTGCTTACTGCCTTCTGCCTGCCACATCATGGACTGTTTGTCCTCTGTCTTGCCTCTTTGCTATGCCACCCAACTACAGACTGAAACCCTAACAAAACTGTGAGCTGAAACAGACCTTTCTTTTTTTAACTTCTGTGTGTTGGGTGTTTTGTCTCAGTGACAAGAAAAGTACCTAACACCATATATCCCTAATTATTCTGTATTGACAACTCAAAGAGAAGTTTAAGTACAGTCAGATGTAAGTTATACAAGCTTAAAAAGTAACTGGATTATAATTTCATTTATAAAAGATCATAAAGAATCATAAAAACAAAAGTTATGTTGTTCTAGGGTAGCTCCTCTCTCAGTATGAGTGAGATTTGGAACTGTGAAAGCACTGTGTGGCGATTCCATGCAATGAGCTGAGTATGAAAATACTGTACCTTTAGGTCCTTTTCCAGGTGTGGGCTCGACAGTAGTTTTGCTCCATATAAGCATGACTCCGCCTGAGTCTCCAGTAAGGACATCTCCATTCCCCAAGAATGCTAAACACTGCACAAATTTTGGTTTTTCATACTTCTACAATGAAACAGTGAGAATTTCCATTATTCCTTTTGGCACAATGATTTATGTTTACTCGACAATTTAGAAAACGTTATAACATCCTGATCCTTACCCCAAAAATTCCCTGTTTTCTTGTTAGAGAATTGCCGTTCCAAGTCCAGAAAAAAATATGAGATTTACCACATGTTATTATGGTATTTGCATCTGTGGGGTGGAACTCCACAGCCAAAACAACTTCATTTGTTGTCTGTGAAAAGAGCAAGCTTTAGGTGAAGGTATGTTCTTACTGCTATTAAGTGCCAACAAAGACAGAAAATTTTTGATAATACATTTTTTTTGGTAACAGGATTGAACTCAGGATATTGAGCTTGTGAGGCAGGATTAGTGCCACTGAGCTAAATTCCCAGCCCTGATAACAGATTTTTAGAATAAAGATTCAGGGCTGGGGATTTAGCTCAGTGGTTCTGGTGTCTGCCTTGCAAGCACAAGGACCTGAGTTCAATCCTTGGTACCAAAAAAGAAAAAAAAAAAAAAAAAAGATTTAATAAATGTGATGTCCATATACTATTTTAATGTTACTTATTTATAAAAACTTTGCACTCACAAGACATATATATGAATTATAGCTTTATGCCAGACACTGCAGAGTACGCCTATAATCCCAGGAGTCTGGAAGCTGAGGCAGTAGCACTGCTGCACGTATGAGGTCAGCCTGAGCTCCCACTCCAAAAAAGCTTTATATTATTTTAATTTCTTACATATTCAGGAAAAGCAGATTAGAGCTACTAAAACCCAATGCTGGGTGTGGTGGTGCACACCTGTAATCCCAGCATTCGGAAGGATGAGGCAGGAGGATTGCTGTGAGTTTGAGACCAGCCTGGGCTACACAGCGAGTTCCAGAGCCAGCCTGAACTACACAGTGAGACCCTGTCTCAAACCACTCCCCACACAAGAAGAAGGAGGAAGGAGGAAGGAGGAAAGAGGAAGGAGGAGGGAGGAGGG